AATATTATAATTATATATAGAGATAAAATATATTTAATATAAATTATAATTTGAAACTTTAATACGATCAATTAATATTTTAATACCATCCTTTGATTATTAACAAAATATATTTTTAAATTATATGAAAATCATTTAATATAGCAGAATAGTTACACTTTAAAATAATTTGTATATCCATTTTATTTGTATGTCTAATTCGTTTAATAATTTTTTCTCGAAAATTTTTGAGATTATTCTATGAACGTTAGAATTTCACATGTAATGAATACGCATGTGCGAATAATACTATGCTGCGAACAGAAAGAGTACGAGTGGTCTTAGCGATTTCGCAATCAGTCGGTTAAGAGCCGTTGTTCGAAGAACATGTAATTTTTTTTTTTTATCTTTTACAGAACACGATAAAAACAACACGTTTAAAGTAACGTGCTGGAAATAGTTCAATTCTCGCTAACTGAATTTATTCAATCGAAAATCGTATCTAACAACGTGTTCCAAAACAAAATCATTCGAGAATAACATACATGAACAGAAAGATCGTTTGAATCAAAGCAATACTATAATTTTTTTCTCTTTTTATTTTTATGCGAATATTATATTATATTTGATTTTAATTATATACAATTATTTCTTCTCCCATATTAAAAGTTTCCAAATATAAGTTTCTAGTTTAATTAAATTATTTTTATATAATTAAAAAATAAATTAATTTTAAATTCGAATGTATATTAAAAAATAATTTTGTTTCTTTTCAGTCGAATTTACTTCTATTTAAAAACATATATAAGAGTTCTTTTCTAAGAGGCTTACAACTTTTTCCACCCATCCTCGTATATTATTTCGTTATCTTACATCTAAATAAATAACATTAATGTTTTTTAATCAATCCAATAAATTATTTTGTATATCTAATCATAAATAATATACGACAAATATATTAATTTCTTTCATATGGCGTTAAATGATATAAATTAAAAATAAATAACTAAAAAAAATTAGAAATCGTTAGAAATTGTGTACTTCCCAGTCATGCTCGACGAAGTATACTTTTTAATAGTTTACGATTAATTTATAATGAGGCAATTAATAATGTTGTTAAGATGATTAATATCATCGAGAATATTAAATTTTGATTGATTTTACGAGTTACGTTTTAATTATCAAAGATTATAAATCATTTTGATATAAAATATATTTAAATAATATCATATATACTTACATATATTTAATTAATTACTTATATATTAGTACGGGTTGAGATAGGAAGGAAGATTTTCTCATTTCTTAGAGTGTCGAAGGAGTTAGAGCAGACCACGAGAGAATGGGACTGGAAAGAGTACTACTTATTTGGATAGTTGATAGGCCTGTTCGTACATTCCTGGACACCCGTCCCTCTCTCGTTTCTCTCCGACATCTTAAGAAACATACACATACGAGAGAAAGTAGATAGATAGTAAATTGAAAGAATATACTAATGCAACTACGTTCCTGCCCGAGTCACGTTCAACTACGACGTATACAAGTTTCTAAGGTTCACTCACGTGCCATCATACAGAATGCACTTTTCTAGTTGGCCCTGTAGTCAAGTATTCAATTTTATGATACAACCATTTCTTTAAAAACAAAAAATAAAACAAAGAAAAAATCCAAACCTATTACAATCAATTATTGTAACTAAACGTTTTTTTTAGGACTGTTCAATTTTACCAGAATTAGCAAGTTGACAATTTTTCGGATCGTTTAGATATATTTTAGTATTTTAATTTGAAGCTTTAATTTTAAATTCATTTTGAAAGAGCTTTATGTGCTTAGATACACACTGTTGTGGTAACGCGATAGTAGCAAGATGCAGTTTGTTTAGACTGTTAACAAGAATGCTACGCTAATGACACGAATTCATTATCGTAGCATGGCGAAAGGAAAGTGGCCGTGATCACGCATATCTGTACATCGTATCTTACGTCGAGTTTCGATATATTTAAGTTTCTTCTATATGTTTATACGTTCTTCGGAATAACTAATATAATCCTTTAGAAAAATTTCACATGAGTTTTATCAGCAACTCATATTTCCCATCATATTCTTCTTTTCTTTTCTTTTTTTTTTTTTTCATTTTCATGCGTTCCAACTCGAAATAAACGAAGTCTCCCCTTCGTTCTAGAAGATTTAATAATAGAACGTCGTTGATAAATTATAAATAATAACTACGTTATTGTGAAAGTTATCATGCTAGATTCTCATCAAAATATATTTCGTTGAAACACTTAAAAAGAAAAAAAAAACAAAATAAAACGGCCATCTTTCGTGAATTAAACGAGTCAGGACACTGTAAAATAATTATGAACAAGTGTTTGTGTTCGTGAATGTGTGAGTATGTGTTTAAGCATAAGTACTTATCGACGTCGTTACTCTCGTAATTGAAATGTTAACGCGGCATTTTAAACGCTAGTTAATTGAGCATAAAAATGATGTGTTCGAGTAATCACGTTGTTCTAATTTTTGTAGGTGGAGATTTAGCGCAGCGAGTATATTTTCTTTAGCAAAGGAACGGTTGGAACCATTATTGAACGAAGCAAAACCTGGAATATTAGGTGAATGAAATTGTGTTAATTACATTTTTGTAAAGATAGAAAAATAATTTTTATTACGACTCGTGTGGATATTCTGTTTAAGGACCATTGGAGTTACGTGAACTAACTCTTGGGGAGCAAACACCATACGTAACACGTGTGAGGACACTGGATTATAGTTGCGAGGATGAAACGTTGGATGGTCATTCAGGAGAGAGAAAACTATCAATCGAGGCCGATGTACGATTGGACTGCGAGCAATTTCGTATGCTCATAGCGTCCCGTCTCTTCGGGAAGGGGTAAATTTACGATATACGTAAATCCCGATATAATTAATATCCCGTACGGGATGGTCCACTCGATTGGTGTAAATTTTCGTCCCGCAAATTTACGATACGATAATAAAATGGACATTTATTTTTTGTATTTATTTATTTATGTTTTTGCTTTCTTTTTTTTTCTTATTTTTTTTTTTTGTTTTCTTTTTTTTCTTCTTCTTATCCGTGGTTTGCGTTATTAACAGCAGCGTCGGGATGGACGTCGATATGGCCGTGGAAAAGTTGTCCCTATCCGGTACAATTCTCGCTACTCTGACCCTGAATTCTCTGGCACCGTTTCCACACGCGACCAGCCTTAGCGTGAGCTTCTTGGAGAAACCGGATGTTTGGTTCAGCGTGAGAATCCTACGAGCCGTGCAGATGATGGAGATGCCATTAATTAAGACCTGGATTCATGCTGTTGTTACCGATGCTTTGGCCAGTTGGTTAGTTGATCCGGGTCATTTGGAATTAAATTTAAGAGCACAGGAAAGACCTGGTCCAGGATTGGATTCATTGTCTAATTCGATACCCCAAGGTGTACTAACTGTTGTATTGAGTCAAAATTGTTTAGCACGTATGTACACTGTTAAAGATTCCTTCATGTTTTTTTGTTTTTTTTTTTTTTATAAAATTCAAACGTTCAACTTTGTTTTCATGATTTTACAGCTATCATTGGGGATGAAGTTAGGTGGTTGGTCGTTACGATAGGTGATCAACGACGTGTCACGTCACATTTGAGTCCAACTTGGACCGAAGATGTTTCCTTTCTTGTTGGATCATTGGAGAACGAAAGGATTACCATCAAATTGAAAACTAAAAGGCTCGTCAGTACCATCACGTTAGCGCAATATGAATTGGCATTGGGTGTCTACAATTGGGAAAATTCTCAAGTGTAAGTAGACTCGATTATTTTATATTAATAAAATGTTAAATAATAATTAATAACATTTTATTTTGTAAACGTGACCAGCGTTGAAACCGTATTACAACAAAAGAAACCATCACGCAGCAGTTCTAACATTCCAAATATCAACGCTCGATTAGAATATACACCCATACCTAATTTGGATCCGAATTTGCCCCGACCTGAATTAACCGAGGACATGTTACACAATGCAGGTAAATTATATATAATTATCATTTATTTAAATAATATTTATTTTTCGATGTAGCATTGAAATTGATCGATAAAGAAAAATTGATGTAAAACAAAAATGTGTTAAAATTATCGTAGATTGTGATCAAAGTATTAGACGTATTACACCATTTGATGATATTTTCAGTGCCACGAAAGTATTTCTCTCGAGCACAGAAATCAGGTAAAAAAATAATGCGATGTTAAACATCGGTCGTAATAAGTGTAGCTTTTGAGCATGGTCTCATTATTATTATTATTATTATTATTTTATTTTTCTATTGACGCACCGCGCAAAAATGTATCACTCACTAAAGATAATTCAATTAAAGAAATAGAAAAAAAAAAAAAAAAGAAAAACATAAAAAGCTGATAGATGAAAAAAGAAAAAAAAAATTTGAATTTACTTTGATTGTACTATGAATTAATTGATTAGATAAATGTTAAATAATTTGTAGGTGTCCTTGTGGTTTACATACATTCATCAGAGAATCTCAACTGTGATAATTCACAATGTAATCCTTACTGTATGTTGTTCAATAATCGAAAAAAGGTACAGTTACATATATGAAATACATTTTTTTAGATTAAAAGATAGATCTGTCACGTGAAAGATGATATCAAATAATTTACTTTAAAGGTGAAAACAACACATTATATCCGTAATACTATCTCTCCACATTGGGAATGTAGAGCACAATTTCTCGTACAGGATTATACTCAAGTTTGTTTAAGCTTCGTTATATATTCTTGGAATATTTTAAAGGCCTGTGATTCGGATATGCTCGGACTCGCGATGATGTCGTTGTCACAGGTAAAAATAAAATTAATCTAATATACAGGATATTTAACCCTTTCGTTACTAGAGATTCATATATTAGGATGTCCCATAAGTTTTTTCCGCGCCACGCTATGTATGATTTCGAGCCGACTATGTTTGTAATCATGCAAAGGAATCATTTAAAGATACATCTATAAAACATTCTAATGTACTTTATTAATATTTTCGATTGTTTAAACTAGAATACATTTTTTTTTAACGTTCCAACCTGGTGATGACTTTGATTTACAAATTTTCATCGAATAAAATAGATCGAAATTGTTTTATCTCATTCGATGTATATTAATAGATATATAATATTTATAAACGAATGTATAGTTAATATTCTTTTATTGATATATTGCATTATATGACGTAATACATACATAAATACGTATAACCTAATACATGAAAAAATCCATCGATCTATATAGTGGTCATATTATTCGACGATGCGTACGTCCTTAGAAAATTTATACGGAACAATATTTGCATCAGAACATGACGTAATGAAAGGATTAACAAAAATTACAGTATATTTTACATAAGTTGATTGTATCGATGTTAATAATTTTTGTTTTAAAAGGAATCAACGTGGGTACTTAGAAAAGAATTAACGTTGAACGGTACAAACAGTGTGTCCACCATGACGGTTTCCGTATTATTTTATCCTGTAAAGAGTGTACAACAAGTAGTTACCAGTCGAAGAAGCAGCATGGTTCCCGTAGGCTCGGATGACGAACCAAAATCAAAGAGAAACAGTTTACCCTGGATGCAACAAGCTGTTAGTTTAATTAACCGTATGATTTAACGTGTTAACACGTAATATTTTATTAATAACCATCTTCCTTCTATCCATGTTCTATTTAGAAATTATTATTAACTCACAAAGACGTCGACCCTGCATCTTCCGATATATCGAGTCTTCTGTCCACTGGAAGCGGCTTAATGGAAGTTACTTTGTTACGTGCTAAAGATTTGGTTGCGAAAGATTTAAATGGCTTTAGTGATCCCTTCTGCGAGCTCAAATTAAATAACGAAACTAAGTACAAAAGTAGTATAAAAAAGAAAACTTTGAATCCGTGTTGGGATGAGAGTTCGATCATGGGTCTACCTCGGTCAGGAGAAAGTTTAGATATTGTAATAATTATTTATTTATTTAATTATAATATAATAATATATTGGATTGCCCCCGTAAAGTTCATGCAGCATTTGTTTATATAAGTATATATAATAGATTTAATTTATATTTTTAACCCTTTCGTTACTAACTATCTACATACGAATCGTTTATGAACGACCCATATGGGGGTCATACCATGCATTTTAACATACCAATATATTTTTATGAGAAAATTTATATGGAACGATGATTCTTGTGCAAAAGCATACTACAACGAAAAGGGTTAGAAATATCAATCGGCGTTAACTTTTCAGGCAATCTAAATAGAATAATTTAATAGAAAATTTATGGAACAAATTTGGGATTATTTTATTTATAGGTCTTATGGGATCATGATACTTTCGGTATGAAAGATTATTTAGGTAAAGTATCATTGACTCTTGAAGACATAAGAAAACTTTCAAACAGCGATCAGTCTCATTGGTTCACGTTAAAGGGAACCAAAACGGGATCTGTCGAGTTGAAAATAAAAGTTCTCTCCGAGGAATGCGAGGTATTGAAAATAATATCAATAAATTTCAATAAATTCTATACATTTTTTATTACATATTTTCTCCATATTATTTTTTTTTTAGACCCAAAGTACATACGCAGCCAGTAACGCGAGTGAAGGTTCTTCTCGGTATAATATCGAAACCGAATCAATATCCAATATCATAAGAAGACCATCTATGGAAAAATCTAAGATGAAGTTACATCTGGATCCAGTCATCCCACCTCCGCCCCCTCCTCGTACTGTTACTTTAATAAAACCAACGACGTCCAATCAATCTGGTAATTTGAACTTTTTGAAATAAACATTATAAGTAATGATTACGTTTGCTGCAGCCTTGACTTTCATTCGTTCAATGTGTTTCCAACTTCGTAAATATTATGATGTAATGCATACTAGATGAATATGGTATATTCCACGAAACATATGTACCAAGCTCAAGGCCATACGAGATGTGTTTTACGAATCCGTACCCGAGGGATCATAAAGTTAACTTTTTATTATTATTTCAAACAGACAAGACCAGTACGACAAGTAAAGATTCGGTCGAAATAAATGGCACTCAAAATTCATGGATTCCACGAGTTGCTGACGAATCGATCACCGATGTTGTAGTCGACGAAGCTGATGCACCAAAAATTCGAGAAAGACGATCATCTCATCACAGTCTAACACCAAGTCCCGAACAAAACTTTGGCAAGAAGTTACCGCAATACAACAGTTTTCGTGTTATGAAGCAAAAGGTATATTTTCATGAGTATTAAACTCGATTTATCTGAATATATTGTAACGTGTAATCGTAGGTGAAGAGAGGATTGAAACTCCGCAGATTTCGTTCGGAAGTTAACATCGAGGATAATAAAAACGAAAGCAAGGGTATTACTTTGAGTTTAGAACCAAGAGGTGGGGGTGAAGCCGATGCTACGGAATTGTTACAAGGTGCTGGTTTGGCACATGCTGTTTCGCAACCTGATATGCTTGGTAGAATAAGACAGCCTAGTCCACGTTTACGACTAAGACCAAATGGTAAATCTTATCTAAATTTGTTTCTATGCATTTGTACACTATCTGTTCAAAGTTTAAGATTCCTTACACGTAAATTGAGAGAAAGCAGAAAATTTTAAACGAAAATTTACGAGGTAGTACGATTTACGTTTTGTATTATTCTTTTTATCAACGAAACGAGTATTTTTCTTTGAGTAATCTGTTTCATACAACAACAACAAAATCTGCCCTTATTTTTAATAACAGTATGATCTTTGTTTCTTTTTAGAATTGAAAATTGTTAATGGAACAAGAGAAAGGTATTCAGGAGTGGAAGGAAAAGTTTTACAAGCTCAGGGACTTCACGTTGCTCACATAGCACAGTTATATTGCCGAGTTAAATTTCAAACGTAAATAAGATTACTTTGATCATATCTTTCTAAAGTAAATACGAATCTGATAAGGATATTTATAACTGTACGATTTGTTTTTACTTCTTTATAGATGCAACAGTCCAGACAAAATGTCATCTTCTGCTAACGCCGGTAAAACAATAGCAAAGTCAAGATTATTACCGGCAATGCCAAATCCACAATTCAGTATAGATTTTCATATAGAAAGCGACAGTATTCCGAGACAAGCGTTGCTGATATTTGAAATTAGGGGTGCCAGTAAAGAATTATTGGCTAGTCGACGTATCACGTTACATGAATTATTAGGTTTGTATATAATTATGTAATTGCAATTTATTGGGTCAGTATTTATAATAAACTAATTAGTATGTAATCTTAATGCAATCTCGTACAAACATACCTATCATCGCGTATTACGACTCCTATATGGATTAATTGTTCAGCCGGTATTTGTGCATGGATATCCCATAATTGAATCATTAGTAAAAAAAGGATTAAATACGAAATAGAAAATATGAGTCAATCATTTATATTATAAAATACTGATCAAATAAATATTTTGATTTAATGAAATTGAATAATTTACAATTGTTTGAAATGTTTGTCGTTATATTTTTTCGTAAAAGTATCAGCAGCAAGCAATGAAGTGCATACCTGGCTGGCCTTGAACAACGGAGCTTCGTTAGAAATACAAATTGCACATGGAAAGGAATTAAAAAATAAGTCATCGAAAAAGTTATTTCGTTCTTGGTCCGTTCATCGAATAGGAAAAATATGAGGGTTAGCCAAGGTCAGAAATATCTGACAGCGTTTTCATTGAAATTCGATCAATTTTTTTTTTCGTTTATCTCTAATAAAAATCGATTGGCTATCGATATATCGACCAATATTTCCCGAAGGAAAAGGAAACAATTATTCTATAATCAATCAAAGACAGTACAACATTTAATTAAATAATATATTTCTATTCTTAATTCTATCAGAAGAATCTTTTATTAAGAATTTTATCAAAGAAAGCATTTCAAATATTTCTCATTGTAATATCTCGTTTGTATTATATAATATACGTATAAATGTTAATAATATACGTTAAATTATAAAAAAAAAGAAAATATATCGGAGTTCTAAACTCCAGTCTCTGTCGCTACGTTTAAAAATTTTCAAACTAATCATAATATATATATATACTACAGAGAATGTAATTTAATATTATACTAATAAGGATGAGACATCCCTACTTCCGAAATGAAATATAAATCATATTTTATAAATAAATCCTATATTGTTATATTTATCAGTTAGCGTCGATCCATTCTTTATTCACGATAAAAATATAATAATTTACTTAGAATGAAAAAGAAAAAATAATAAAATAAAATCATTACAAAGACAATTAAAATTAACAATAAATAAAATATTTATAAGAAATCAAACGTTGCATCGTATTTCGATTAAATAAAACAAATTTTCAATCTTATAATTTAAATAAAAAATAAAAAATGAAAGTAAGCAAAAATGTGAAAAATATAAGTGGATTAATAAATAAAAAAAAAAAAGATTTAATTGAAGCGCAATTTTTCTTTCTATGAAAGATCATGGGGATAAATGATGCAATTTATTTGAAATCTCGCGGCTTACATATTATTCTCATCATTGGTCTTCGTTATAGTCACGTGACTTACACACGGCCCTATCTTATTGTTGCGCATGGCACTTCAGTTAGTGCCGCTTGCACTTGCTGTCGGCGTTCATTACTCATAAACCAGTAGTGGGGAGGATCGATATATTTGAAAGACCGAACGGCTACGACATTAAATCGAACGCAGACGTAAACACATACGGAGCTTCAACACAATCATTAGCAAGTAAAGACAAGATGCCGGGACCAAACTGCGATAAGTGCAAAGGTAGGAATCTTAATATATTTTTTCTTTTCTTTTTTAATATTTTTATGCGACATCAGAATGGGGGAGTTTGATGAAATTTTATTGCTATAACACGAAATTATTTTATTTTATTATTATTATTGTTTTACTTTACTTATAAAACAATGTTTATGTTGCTTCGAATTCTATAATATGTTATTTTATTGATATTTCGTTTTTTAATATTTTTATGCGAAATTAAAATGATGTTTAATGATACGTCTGCTGCAATAGCATTAAATTATTTGTGATTTATCTAATAATTTGTGTTATATATTTATTTTTATTTTGTTCTTGTTTATTTTCTTTAATTAATTTTTTTTAAATCAAATAGAATTTTTTAAAACTTATCGCAAGTTTTGATTATAAAATTAACGCGTCGTTACTTTAATTTATTTACAAATAAAACGTAGTGTTAGAACGAGAAAGAGTTTAAAAATTTTATTTCAAATTTAAATTATTAACTTTTATTTTATTATTTTCACCTTCGAGATAATCGAATGTACACACATGTATTACTCATGTTTATCTTCTTTGAGAATGACTAAATACTCCTTTCCTATATGATGTTATTTCACAATAATTTGATGCAATTCCATTCGAACGTATTACACTTTATCTTTTTTTAAACAATATCGGTAAAAATAAACAATAAGTTTCCTACAAATGCGAAATAAATGTTAATCTCTTAAGAATATTTTACAAATGTCATTTTAAAATATCGCGTTACTTTAATTTCATGTAAAAAAAAGATATATTAACTACTTTTAATGTTATGGTCAAGCTTTTTTTTTAAATAATTTCTCATTTTACATACAAACATAAATACATACATGTAAATATGCATAATTATACAAATGTATACGAATTTAAATGAAGTTAATACATTACACTGAAAAAAAATGAGTTTGATAATAAATATTTACAATGTTATTAATTTGTTTTGTTATCTAAAAAGTATTTAAATTCATTGTTCCGTGGGTGGGTTAAAAAGTTTTGAGTCTAATACAGAAATATTATTTTTTTCTTCTATTTTTTTGAGAATAGGCTCAAAATTATTCAACCCATCCTTGTATATCTTAAATAACACTCTAACATTTATATTCATATTATATTTTTATAAATAGTTATGTATATATGATATTATTTATATCAAAATTTATATTAAAATTAAATTGATTAGTATTTTAACGCGTTAAAAATTCGATTAAAGAATGTCTTCGGTATGAAAAAAAGAAGAATTTCGAGAATTATTCGCAAATGGAATTTAATAATAATTTGATTGTGTGCGAGACACGACGTGTAACTCGAACGAGGGGGAATTTCGATGGCTATTAACATGTCCGCCAATGCATTATCGTATCATCCGACTTCTTTCATTAAAATCTATTTATTTCTCGTTTAAAATAAGTGAGGATGATCAACGATCGGTTCAATTTATTTCGCGTTCGAGAATTTTCGTTGGAGAGTTTCTTAACAGACGTGTGAATTTGCACTTCCGGATAAAACGATGAAAAAAATGTTCGTACTTAGACAATAGTAATCTTATTGTACTCGAACAAAGTATATTTTAATAGCGTTATTTCAGATAATCAATGATAACAAGATTTAATATCTTCAATTTTATAGTTATCAAACGAAGAGCGTAAATATTTTGCGATCGATTTGATAATATTGAAGTGAATAGTTAACAATTACTTGTTCAATAACAATATCGTAGATAAATTAAACATACACGCGTACATACACATATCTAAAATAATTCTTATATTTACACGCGCGAATAGATAGAATAGAATAAAACTGAAAAGAATAAAAAAATGAGTTAATAGATAGAAATGTATTTAAAAAATAATATTTATTAAAATTATTTTTTTTTTATTTATCTATAATTATTTATCTATATATTATTTCCCTTAAAGGTTTAAAAATTAATACAAATATTAATACAAATATTAATACATATAGAAAAATTGTTTATTTAACTTCTAATTAGGAATAATCTATTGTTTTTTGTTATCAGATAAATGCCAGGACTGCAAATGCGGCAGCAGTTGCAAATGCTGTGACTCGAGTTCCTCAGGTACATATCTAAACAGGAAGCGTTCATTTACCATTGCTTTAAAGTTTCGTAAGAAATTTCTAGAATAACCTTTTGCGTTCGAGTTCTCAAGAGAACTTTCGGTTAAGTTCGATCGAAGATATGAACGATCGACAAAAAGTTACGTCACGCTGTTGCGCACAATAGGAATGCAATGTTAAGACTTTGAATGCGACTGTACTTTAACTTCCTTCTCATCTCGAGTAACTGCCAAATAACCGTAACTGTTTCTAATGCGAGTTCATTGCATCCTCCATGAGATTTACTATAATCTATTCCTCTTTATCTATACTTTTAAATATTACAAAATATTCTATCTGAATATTTCAACAAACTTCATTTCAAATTTTACGTTGCCAAATGAAAAATCTGAAAGAGTCTAAAAAAACCTGAATTTGCGTATTATAATTAATAAAATCATTTTCCTTTTAATTACAGAAAAATGTGATTGTTGTTGTAAGACAACCGGCAAATGCAATTGTACCAATTGTAAATGTTGATACAATCAGATAAAGGCGTAGAAGCTGCAGGCGAAATCGAAGGATGGTGATAGGTCGTAAAGATGAAAAAATGGCTATAACGATGATCTTTAGTACTAATTTTTCAACTGCAGCTTATATGTATACTTAGATATCGCAATAGTAATTCAGTTATAACGATAACATTATATATTTCGATATCGACTGATGTATTATTATACTGTATTTTATATTATTCTTTGAGCATTTAAATAAATATATCTAAAATGTTGCTCTACCCATAGTGTTTATCATTTCTAAGAATTTTTATAGATTATTATATAACTTCCTTAATTTAAGATTTAGATTGTAAATTTTTTCACGAGTTAGTTTTATTTTCTTTTAACTATTGTATTATTGTTTTACGATCGGAGAAAGTAGATTTTACTTTCCTACGACTCAACCCGTCAAGAAACTATTTTTTCCTTTTTTTTTTCTATTTTTTTTACACAATTTTTGTTCGGCGCAATTTATCAGCAAAATAATTCTAAGAAAGTACATTTAAAGTATTCAGTCAATACTGCGACTACTCGTAAATTCTTAGAAAATATTATTGGAAATATTATTTTCACTTCGCTAATGTTTGTTTTATGGTTATAGTTTAAACAAAATGCGTTAAAAATACACGATGAGTTTTATATAATGACTATGAATTGTAGAGACCAGCACTAGTCAACTTATGACTAATTTGAAAAATGATAATGCAGTTTTCTTGATCATTAATAGTTGGTAAAGAAGAATATGCGTCACTAACAGTAAATAAACAATAAGATAAGCCTTATCAATTTGAGATAATATAGAAATTGTAGGTATTGTAGTAATCTGTAAAATAGAAAATTATCGTATGCTACTAGTTGTAGAGTCACACATTTTTCTACTTCAGATGGAGTAGCTTTTTAATTGTTAATTAATATTTTTTGTACCTTACGCATGTGTCAAAAATCTTCAAATTCGTATATAAAATAATTAAAGAATGTTTTAAATGGTAAAAAATAATATAAATTTCATATTAAAATATTTCTTCCTGTTATATATTTTTAAGGGTAGTTTTAACATCGGAAAGGTAAGACGTCCTATTTGATATGTATCTTGAATTCCACTAATTATCATTTCCTCGAGTAACACAATAACAATTTATCCGAAATAGAAGATGCGTTATTAACTGCGTTACAATTTTTTTCTATTTCTTGTTCCTTTTGGTAAATTCACGGAAACGATGTTCGAAGGATACACCTGGTATCTTGTAAACATCAAATGGACCCGCTCCGACGAAGCATAAAATTGAGTACCACCGTTGTCGAAATATCAAACGCCGGTAGTGAATTCTCGAGACTCTTAAGATCGCTCATTTTTATTTTGTTTATTTTTTCTTTCATTCCTTTTTTTTTCGTTTATAGATTGTCTCGATAAAGGAACGTGTCTTACGTTTTCGTTCGACACGGATAATTTCCTAGATAGAAATGTTGCTGATTACTTTCGACGCCATTTTGTCTGTGCTCTCGATTTATCATCAAAGAAGAATACGATAGACAAAATAATAACGAATGAATTCGCATCGGCCGTAAAATCCTTTCTATTTCGTCGTATTTCTTTCTTTTTTTTTTTTTTTTTTTAATTCGAAACAAAGTAAAGAGAGCAAGTACAACAAAGATTGTCATTCGTAATTAGAACTTGGGTTTATGCAAGAGAAGAGGCTCGTCCGTAATAATATGTAAATAGTTAACGAATTCGTGCGAACTCACGAAGTTGAAGAAGAAAAAAAGAAAAAGAAAAAGAAAACGAAGAAGGAGAAGGAGAATAAGGAGAAGTAGAAGCACCATTACGTTTGTAAAGGTACCAACCAACCAACCATCTTTCGCTTTCTCCGCAGACTCGATCCAAATTACTAGGTACCAGTCCACGCTTTTGTCGTCAAACGGTGTGTTCCATGGAACGGGGAGTTCAGATGGGACATCGCGATTTCCTCTGACTTTAACCACATCGTGAGAAAAAGTGGAGGACAAACAAATATAGAAGACGCGTATAGAGAATTAAAAGACGAAAACTGTGACGAAAATTTTGGCGAAAAAAAGACAAAAAAAAAAGAAGAAGAAGAAATGGTGTGTGTGTGGGGGGGGGAGGGGAAAATTCAGAATAAGAAATAATAAAGAAAAATCAATTAGAGGAAGATGATGACAATTAAGAAGAAGGGTGTAAGAAGAAATAAAAGATAAAGAAGTTAAAGTGAAGGATGATGACGACAATTAAGAGGAAGGGTAGAAAGAAAAAGAAGAAGAAACGGAAGATGATAATAATTAAAAAGAAGAAGATAATAATAATAATTATTAATAATAATAATAATAATAATAATAATAATAATAATAAGTAGAGATAAAAGTTGAAGTAGAAGATTACGATAACTAATAAAAAGTGTAGAAAGAAGAAAAAAGATTAAGAAGAAGAAGAAGAAGAAAAAGAAGAAAAATATTGAAGATGATGATAACCAAGAAAAAAGAATAGAAAAAAAATATAATAATAATAATAAGTTGAAGTAGAAGTAGAAGACAAAGAGAAAGAAGAAGACGATAACTAAGAGGAAGGGGTAAAAAGAATAAGAAGAAACAGTAGAGAGGTAGGGGGATCTAGGAAAGGTTGAAAAGACGGCGATTAGTCAAACGAAATCGTCCATCGCGTCTGAACATACGAGGAACACATGCTGACTCGTTCTCTTACGAGCACAACTCTCGAAATAGAGAAAGAGAAACGACGACGACGACGACGAAGACGACAAAGTCCTCGACGACGAGTTTGAAAGTACTGACTCCCGACATTCTTTTCGGCTAACCGCCTACTTAATTAAAACAACATTAAGCCGAGTTGGCTTATGCCAAGAAATGACGCTTGTCCATGGACCGTGCAAAGGCAAACCGATGAGAAGAGTTTAAAGAGAGAGAGAGAGAGAGAAAGATATTACATTAATTTTCATATATAAAATACTAATTAGGATTATACATGTGAGGATTACACAAAAGTCAAATGTGATATTTAATATTAATAAAAATATAAGAAATTTTGTATAATAATAAAAAAAATTAAATAGAATATATTTATCGCGAATGCTGTTTAGCCATTTAAAAAAAAAAAAAAAAAAAGGAAGATGATAGCAAATGAAAAGAAATAAGGAAGAGAAAAGCAGAGGAAATGCACCCCGCAAAAGTCAAATCGTTAAATCTCGACTCTAACTGCAGCTACACCGCTGGCTCGTAAACCACATCGCTTATTAAATTATGTACTTTCGGCCGGCTGCAAGAGCCGTGCAATTTGTTACACGGCGTTTGGCAACGTCCTTAGCTCTCTCTCTCTCTCTCTCTTTCTCTCTCTCTCCCCTCGAACTACCACGATTTTCATTTCTACTAATAACACCACCGATGTTTCTTCCTGTGTTCATTTGTAAATAGTCTTCAATGATTAATCGTCATCACTATTAATTTTATTCATTTTATCTTCGTTTAAATTACAATTTTATACGAAATCTCCATTTTTGTTAGATAATCGCAAAATATAACAAATGTCTGCTTATTGAGAACAAAAATAATTTGAGTAACAATAATTGTTTGTATTACATGTATATATATATATTATTGTTTAAATATTAAATTCAATTCTTAATAATATATTTGACGCGCGCGCGGATAACTTTCTAAACATATTTTCTAAGAAAATTCGAATAAAAACGTTTAATAAATTTTCGAAGAAATTCCATCCCATTCAGGAATAATTGTCTCGATCAGATATAAGTAAAGAAAATTTGGGATTGTCGGAAATCGTAGATAAATATATGAGATTAGTAAGAACAAGATATTCAAGAAGTTTATTTGGATTTTCCGACAACTCGAGAATATCGTAGAAATCTTTCTAGGAGAAGAGGGTGCAACTAGGGATATTTTGTCGTCCATGGTAATGGACTAATGACCGTTGCTCTAGAAATAACTTACTCTCTCTCTCTCTCTCTCTCTCTCTCTCTTTATTTTTCTCGTTTTCCTATGTCAGCCAATTAAATGCATATATACATATAGCTATTAAAACGCGAGAAAGAGAAAGAAGGAGTTACAGATAGAAGGGGCTGAAGCGTTTTCCTCTAAACACGACCGTGACACTCACGAGGACACCCCAAGCAACGAGATTTAGGAGTGACAGGTGCATCGTCCTATCATTTTCTTACTTTCTTCTCTTTCTCTCTCTTTCATTTCCTTTCATTTTCTCATTTTCTATCCTTTGACTTAACATTTCCACACTTTCTCAAGGCGTCTCGCTTATTAATAATGAGTATTTGACCTGGAGCCAAGTACAAACTCTCAAGTCAAGAATTTAGTTAACCATAAAACAGTTATATTAATTTAAATTTCATTGAAATAAAATGGAAACAAGAATATCTTTTCATAATTATTATAATAATTTCTCTAATCGCAAATCACATTGTATTAAATATTTTTCTATCTATTATAATATATATATATATATATACGTAAAATTAATTGTGAAATATATTTCTTTTTGTAGTAGTCAAAAATCTTAGGATATACGAAATTCCCCCCAAAATAATATTAAAAAAGAACAAAAATTATCTTCTTCGCAATATAGTAGAAAAAGAAAATAGCGATAAGGAAATGGTAGATTTGCAAGGAAAAATGACCGTTCGCAAGTAAGTATACTTAGCATGTGTTGTTAGCTCATTCAGCGAAGCGTAGCTCCTTCTGGAGCTTGCGATTTTCGAATATCGAGTTACTTTTTCTCTTTTTTCGATTAGATGAATATCAACATCATCTATATAATATTTAATATAATTTGATAATAATCATTTTGTATATAACGCATCCAATAATAAATTTTCTTTCGAGTATTGTACAAGTGTGAAAATTGGTTTCGTGCATGTGAATAGAAGTGAACAAAAAGTTAATAAAATATAAGAAAATTGAAAGATCTCAAGAAATGGTTGTTAAAGATAAGAAAGATTCGAGTTTATTCTTTTTCTTCGTATCTTGAACGACGTGGGAAGTGGCACATACATAAAACGCTCCTTACGCCGGTCTTTATAGATCCAACGAGCGTGAGCTTCAGCTCTAATAAGCGAACCGGCAAGCAGTTAAGAAGGAAGTATGTGACAGGTGGAATATTCCGCGGTAAGGAAAGCGTACGAATATCGTTATTAAGACACGGTACCTCTAACGAGCACCTTCTACCGTTCTCCAACTAAAGCGGCA